TATCCTTGACTGCTGCAGTTGGTGATCTATTTTTTAAATAAATAGCAGTATTCATCGCCTCTGCCCAATTTTTTTTTTGTAAGATTGGCTTCAAACAACAAACATCTTGTCTTTTCAACAATGGTCCTTAAAGTTCGCTCCGCAACACCATTTTGTTGAGGTGTATACGGAATAGTACTTTGATGAACAATACCATGAACTATCAGAAAATCTTTCATATCTTTGTTCATGTATTCAGTGCCATTGTCACTACGTAAGCATTTAATCTTTTTGTTTGTTTGATTTTCTACTAGTGCTTTAAAGTTTTGAAATTGGTACAAAACTTCACTCTTCTGTTTTAACATGAATCCAAACACCTTTCTGCTATAGTCGTCGACAAAAATTAGACAGTACCTTGTTCCTCCCCAGGATGCTTCTTCCATGGGACCGACAATATCAGAATGGATAAGTTCTAGAAGATCTTTAGCACGTCTGGCTTTCTTTTTTGGAAATTTCTGGACAGTTTGCTTTCCTTCGATACACTTGATACAAGGCTCATCATTACCAGCGGTAAAATCGAATCCAGTGACCATATTTTTGAGCATTTGCATTTCTCTGCGGTTTAAGTGTCCCAAACGCCTATGCCACAGATTACGATCTGAAGGAAACACAGATAAAGCATTCACTTGATGTTCATATTTGTCAGCAACATATAAACCATTGTGTAGAGTACCAGAAAACTCTACATTTCCTCTAATTGAAAAATTCGATTCGTCGTAAAATTTGCAACCAAATTTATTAAAAACTGCTACGTAACCTTTTTCAGCTACCTTACTAACTGAAAGTAAATTGTTACTAAGGGTAGGTACTAACATGACTTCAGAAATGGTTTTTGTGGATTTTTTCCCAGATTGGTTGAGATTTATACCCACACTTCCCACACCAACAGATTTAATTTTCTCCCCATTTGCAACTGCTATGTGCTGGATTTCACGTTCATTAAAATTTACCATCCAATCCTTTTTAAAAGTCATATGCGAAGTTGCTCCGGAGTCTATTACCCAATCAGCTGTGGAATTAGTGACCAACATTGCAGAAGTCAGCAGTGTTTGCTTTTTATCGTTTAATTTGGGGCAGTCTGGCTTTTTATGCCCCTTTTCACCACAGGAGTAGCATTTGATTTTCTTTTTATCAAATTTTTTCTTGTAACTTTTTGAATGCAAAGCAATTTCTTCATTTTGGTCTTTTTGTCCCTGGATAGATCTTCTTCTTGCATCTTCTTCAATAAGCTTAGTTTTCACTTCATCTGACGAAAGTTTATCATTATTATAAGTCATCGTCATAACTAAAGCTTCATGTTCAGCATTTAAACCATTTAACATTACAAATGCAACGAAGTCGTCTTCGATGGTGACACCTATATCCGCTAGTTTGAAAACTGTTGACATTATATCACTGATGTACTCCTCCATCGAATTATAATCATCCCTCTTGGCCCTGAAGAGATGTCTTTGTAAATCAAACTTTCTGTTCATGTTTTTGGATTCAAAGGCTTTTTGCAAATTATCCCATGCTTGTTTGGATGTAGTAGCTTTATAAACATGAACATAACACGTTGGTTTAATACATAAAGATATTTTTGCCAGTGCTCTATTATCCTTTTGTTTACTTAAATGATCAGAGCCTTCAATACCCTCTGCTACTATATCCCATAGGCCCTCTAACATCAAACTCATCTTCATAGCGAATTTCCACGATGTATAGTTGCCTTGTCCCTCCAACTTGTCGATATTTGGTATGGAAGTTGAAAAAGATTGCGTAGTAGTAATGGTTGGGGTAACAGCTGTATCTTCAGAAGTTAACATTTTTCACAAAAAACTATAATCCTTTGCTTAGTTTTTCGTCACTGGGCTCATAAACCAGAACAAATAAAATAGATTTGATTTTCGTGACAGTATATATTTTTTATTACTAAAAATCAATCAATACAATGACAATCATTTATATCTAGTAAACGAATAAATAAAACACAAAGTAGTAATTAGTCATTAGATTAGATAGCTCTAACATCTTGGGACTGGTTTAAAGATCTTGGATTCCAAAATAATTGATCTTTCATGCTTCCAAACTCCGCTTATTGCATTTAAGGATGTAATAAAATAAATGGGATACCTAATTATTTGTTGGTTTAATTTGACAAGTGTTGATCAAGACAATTATCCTTCCGCCATGATATAGGTAAACAAAAAAAAATATTTTATTATCCAACAGACCTGTGGTCCATTACAGGATAAAATTTAATTTAACGATAAGTCTTTTATAATAATAATAATTTAATATTGAAAGAGTAAAACCAAATTTGGTAGATTTTCACACTTTTATTTTAAAAATAAAAATTTTTAAACAAACACTAACATGACATATGTTTCGAAGTACAACTTCTTTTTCAAATGTGACTATTTACAATTCGGTATCCAATATATATACAAAATAATTTAACAAAACAAAGTACTTAAGAAAACATCAATAACATTACAAAATAAACTAACTATTTAAAGTAAATAAGGGTACTTAGGTAATTATAATATCCATCAAATAACAATAAGATAGCCCATTACCGGGATTATCTCACAGAAAACTGGGAAAGAGGTTTAATAAGGGTGAATTATTAATATCTAATTGATCATTTAGTAAGTTATCTGAATTTTTAAATCTATTTATTTCAAGTGTTTCTAAATGGTTTAATTTAAGGCTCTTATTTTCTACATGTAAAATTTCAAAGTTGTCTGTAAAAGAATGATTTTCAGCTAAAATATGATTTGAGTAAGTAGAATTATTTTTGTTTTTTGTATAGCTATTATAATGTTCGGAATAGCGTTTTTTGAAAGTACGGCCTGTTTGACCAATATACAATTTTGGACAACTACCACAATTTAATTTATATACCCCCGATTTATTATTAGGATTAATTTTACCCTTATTGTTTTTAATATACTTCCCAAGCGTATTATTGGTTTTAAAAGCTACGTTAATATTTTGGTTTTTTAAATATGATGATACCTTTTCACTAGGAGCTCCTATATATGTAAGACTCTTATATCTGCAATTTGGATCTTTAATTATGGGATAAACTTGTTGAATAGCCTGTTTAAAAAGTTTTTTCTCTAAAATGTTGTCTACTAACTTTGAATTAAAAACAGGCCGTACTTTCAAAAAAACGCTATTCCGAACATTATAATAGCTATACAAAAAACAAAAATAATTCTACTTACTCAAATCATATTTTAGCTGAAAATCATTCTTTTACAGACAACTTTGAAATTTTACATGTAGAAAATAAGAGCCTTAAATTAAACCATTTAGAAACACTTGAAATAAATAGATTTAAAAATTCAGATAACTTACTAAATGATCAATTAGATATTAATAATTCACCCTTATTAAACCTCTTTCCCAGTTTTCTGTGAGATAATCCCGGTAATGGGCTATCTTATTGTTATTTGATGGATATTATAATTACCTAAGTACCCTTATTTACTTTAAATAGTTAGTTTATTTTGTAATGTTATTGATGTTTTCTTAAGTACTTTGTTTTGTTAAATTATTTTGTATATATATTGGATACCGAATTGTAAATAGTCACATTTGAAAAAGAAGTTGTACTTCGAAACATATGTCATGTTAGTGTTTGTTTAAAAAAAAAATTTTTATTTTTAAAATAAAAGTGTGAAAATCTACCAAATTTGGTTTTACTCTTTCAAAATTAAATGGATTTTCATCAAGTAAAGGCCGAAACAATAAATAATAATTTAATAGTTAATTACTTCCATAAACTTCCATAAACATATATTCAGTACTTTTACTTATTTTTAAGAAAATATTTTGTTTAAACATATATAAATTTGTGGAGTATAACTTTGAAACAAAATTGAATAAATCCTCTATAAACGGTTTTTAGTAAAACACAATTGCACAAAAAATATTAGTTTTTTCGTTGGCTTTGTTAGAAAATACTTTTGGAAACGTTATTAATAATACATGCTTTGTAATTATAAATTTGAAAAATTATTTTTGTTAAAATTATAACAAACAAAAATAGATTTATTCAGTTTTACTCAAAACCGCTGGATTTATTTGGTTTGGCTTAAAACTTTATTAACAAACAACAATAATAATATTATTTTAAACAGAAATATTTCTTACAGACTGCTTCTCCTCGATTGTCTACTAACAGATAACCAAATTCTCAAAAAAACTCGAGTCTGTAGCGTTTTTTTTTTATAAAAGGATAAATTTACCTGTCACTACTCAACGGCGGTCCGTGTTTGACAATTCAAGACCAGTCTTAGTTAAAGACGCTTGAATTGCTGAAATATTATTCTAGGCAATTTGAAGTATGTTTTGGTATTCTCTGGAAAATTATCCGAACTTTCTCCAATTTTCTGGAAAGTGGAGAACAACAAAACTTGACCTCCAATGTGGAAAAGTATTTTACTCTGTTGGAGTAAAATATGAATAGGACGATTTATTGTAGTTACGCATCGTTTCAGAAAATAAGAGGGGATGCTTTCAGGGCCATGGCTTAATTTATCATTTAAACTCCAAATTCCTTTAAAAATCCTTTCAATTGAGAAAAAACAATTTAGAATATGAACTATATTTTTAATATTATTATCAATCAGAGAGACGTCAGCAACTTCATCACTGTATGTTTTAGAAAAAATGTTCAGAAAATAAGTCTGCACTTTCTTGATTAGGATCCCCAACTTTATGATCACAAAACATTAATTTTGGTAAAAATGGTTCCCCCTTCAAATTCTTATAAAAATTCCAGAAAAACTTTGAATTATCAATAATAGAGTTATCAACATGAGAAATATAATTTTCAAAATACTGTTTAGAGATGGATTTACATTTGGCTCTTAATATAGAGAATATATTCTAATCATTTGTCTAAAGCTTTAATAATTTAAATACTTAGAAAAACAGAAGAAACAAATTGGTTAACACACAAATTTTAGTTCTTTTAGATACACAAGACCTAGGGCAGAAAAACGTAGAGATAGCACTATACCGGTACCAGCACAGTTAGCAGAAAAGAGACAAGTTGTAGCACCGGTAATACCACCCCCGTTGATCGAATCGAGACACCCTCCTATACAAGCCATTCCTCCTGTTACAACTACTATTTCTTATAACATCGGCCATACCTTGGGCGCCGGACCGGCCATTGCAGCAGCCGCTTCTCAGGCAATTGCTGCGACACAGCAAGTAAGTCACTAATCCAAAATCTCACCTTATTTGAGTTATTTTGATAGCGGATTTCTAAGAATGCAGATAATCCTAACTTGTTTTATTTGTTTCTAAAGTTATGTACAAAAGAAATTAAATAATTTGATTTAATACGCCGTAGATGCAACAAGGCAGAAGGACCGCAAGTTTAAAGGCTTCATACGAAGCCATCGGTGCACATGGACATGAGTTTGGCATAGGACGAGAATTGGCCGGTGCCGCTGAAACTGCTATTCAAGCAATTCAACAGGATCATGCAAATAACAAGAAAAAACATAAGTGAGTATTGATTTTCAGCTACAATTTTTATGATCCGAGTTTGAGTCTTGTAGATATAAAAAAACACTTTGTATCCTTGTCTCTTTTAAGAAAATGGAGCAGCAGTAGTTCTTCGAACACATCTTCGACGGCTGTCGTGGCTCAGCCCGTCATACCTACACCGGTAGTTGTTCCTACTCCCGAATCACCTGCAGAAACCAGTTCACAAAATGCTGAAGTTACTGACGGCGAATGGACGTACGATCCCAATGAACCCAGATACTGTCTTTGTAATCAAGTATCCTATGGTGATATGGTTGCATGTGATAATGAAGATGTAAGTATGAGTATACAGGGTGTCATTGAAATAGTGTAAAAAAATTTGGGAGGTGATAGTACTCCTAAAACTAGTAAAAAAAGTTCCTATAACTATGGGTCGTTAAATGCATATTAAGGGCAAACTTGGAAAGGGGTTTTTTTGAAATTGTAAGCTTAAAACACACGATAAAACTTCGAAAAAAATCACTGCTGACATAAAATTTACTGCTGAATCCAATGGTAATATCGAAAAATTACTTATTTAATCAGAAAGGGTAGTTCTTGCAAGGGTAAGGGGTCGATTTATGATTAACTTTTTAGGGGTTGATTTTTTAAAACGGGTCTATTTTTTAAAAACTACTACCTTTTTCCCATAAAAAAGGTACTGTTATTGCAAGTCGCTTAAAGCAATGGTTTTTGAGAAAATTGAAGGCAAACATTTTACTGAACCCGTATTTGAAAAACAAGTATGTATTTATTTTTTGATGGGTTGCTCACAGGTTAATCAACATACATTTATGAAAATTATGGCGTGGTTATTTTAATTTAGAATTACCAAATCGCCCTGTTAAACAAGAGAAGCGCCAACATTATTTTAAATAATAAAAGAGTGAGAAATTAAAGTGAAAAATATTTTATTACTATTATGGAAAGTATCGTATTTTTTTATCATATCAGTCTGACTCTTTTATTTAAAGTAAATGTTCAATGTGGCCACCATTCATTTCAATACAGACACTTGCTCTTCTCCTCCAGGATCTGCGTACCCTATCGAAAATCCTTGGCGTTGTACGAATTTGATTGGAGGAGTCAATTATCCGTTGTCGTAGTTGCTCTTCAGTATTAATCGGCACTGAGTAAACCAAAGCTTTTAAGTGACCCCATAAGTAGAAATCAAGTGGATTAAGATCTGGTGATCTGTCTAGCCAAGCTTGTGGACCACCACGTCCTATCCAACGCCTTTCGAAAACTTGATTTAAATGATTTCTCACGGCTAGTGGAAAATGAGGTGGTGCACCATCGTGCATAAAATACATAATCTGCCTCTGTGCTATTGGAACTTCCTCCAAAAGTATTGGTAAATGGTTTACCAAAAAATGAAGGTAATTTTGTCCATTAAGCGTAAAAGAATAATAATAATTAGGAATTGGTGACGTTTGAACAGTTTTAAAATTTACCTATTGGGTAGAAAGAATGGTCCAATAAGTCTATCTCCAAGAATTCCCGCCCAAACGTTTACTGAGAATCGAACTTGGTGTCGGCTTTCTATGACAGCATGAGGATTTTGATCGGACCAGTAATGGGTGTTGTGGTAATTAACAATCCCATTTTTGGTAAACCCTGCTTCATCAGTGCATAAAATGTTTGGCAGAAAAAAGGGATCTTCTACCAGTTTTCTTAATAACCAACGACAGAAATTGGCACGAGCGGGATAGTCTGGAGGATTAAGGGCTTGTACCCTTTGGATGTGGTATGGATACAGCAGTTGAGTATGAAGAGTCATCCACACAGTATGGCGACTCACGTTTTCTCGCGCTGCAATTCTCTTTACAGATAACCCTGGATCTTCCTCTACACTTCTTAAAATTCGCTCTTCAATTGCTGGTGTACGCACTGTAACATTACGGCCGCGATAATGGTGCCTGTTACTAAATGAACCTTCGTCTCTCAGGCACTGATGGACACTGGCAAATATCCTATGAGAGGGTGCTCTGCGATTTGGATATTTTTGAATACACAAACATTTAGCTAAAAGACCGTTTCCGTTCGCTCTTCCATAAATAAAATGCATATCTGTCAGTTCAAGTACAGTGTATTCCATAATTTCTGGTATATTACGCCCACGTACACTTCAACAACAAAAAACTGACAGAAATACAAAACCAGAATAATTTTAGGCAAAATTATTTACAATTTCTTTTTGCTAAATTAAAATAAAAAAATTGTGATAAGGCTATTGTTTTGTCCAAATTTGATTATTCCATTTACAAAAAGTATTCATTGACAGTGGCTTGCCCACAAATTTCTTCTGGGGTTTGGGTTGCCACTTACCTTCCGATTGTAAAGTTGAGAGAAAAAAATTGACCCACAGACAAAAAATAATTTTTCATAATAAAATTCTTCGACATTACTTGAAAATATTTTTTTTCTTTAGTGTTTATGAGTTTTTTGGGAGGTTGATTAGTTTAACACGTCACAATTTTCATAAATTTATGTTTATTAATCTGTGAGATACTTATCAAAAAATAAGTAATTTTACTTTTCATTTTTCAACTACAGGTTTACCAAACTCTTTGCCTTCAATTTTCTCGAAAACGATTGCTTTAAGCGACTTGCAATAAGAGTAACTTTTTTATGGAAAAAAGGTAGTTGTTGTTAAAAAATAGACCCACGTAAAAAAATCAACCCCTAAAAAGTTAATCATAAATCGACCCCTTACCCTTTCGGATTAAATAAGTAATTTTTCGATATTACCATTGGGTTCAGCAGTAAATTTTATCTCAACAGGGATTTTTTTCGAAGTTTTATCGTGTCTTAAGCTTACAATTTCAAAAAAACCACTTTCCAAGTTTGCCCTTTTGACGCCCCTAAATCCCTTAATATGTATTTAACGACCCATAGTTATAGTACAAAATAATTAAAGAGAGTTGTTAAGTAAAAATTTATTGGCAACACTGAAAAATTTGAAAATAACATTTAAGGATATAAACAATTACTCTGATACATTCTATAGAAGGGCTAAATAAATGCCACTTAAGAAATGTATAAAAATCTTTGTGCTTTTGATCATTTAAAAAAGGTATCATGGCCCTTAGGTTTACTGTGTTTTGTTCCTCAAAAAATTGATTCGAATCACGAATCCGAATCACGAATCCGAATCACGATATGTGATTCGAATCACGGATCCTATGTCCGAATCGTTTTTGCAATAAAAAAAGGTTCGAATCCATTTTGTCGGATCACGAATACGAATCACTATCAACGTCTTATGCATGCTTCTGAATCTAATATCAATATCAACTATGTGTCTATTACCGACTATGACTTGCATTCAAATGGTTGATACAAGATGTTGAAAAGAATAATCTTATTTTTTGTTTTTTCTATAAATATGAACCATAAATAAATTAGAATATACAAAAAATACATTTTATTTTAATACAAAAACAAAATAAATAAACAATGAAATAAAAATATCTTTTGGTTGGCCTTACATAGCACCAAAATTTCGAGGCGAGACGATTATACCTGCAAACAAAAATAATCGTTAGACTGCACTAGACTAAGTAAGGCAAGTGTTAAATTTTAGGATTTTTTTTTTTATATTGGACATTCATTGCTAATTTGTGATGTCAAAGAAGGCAACAGAGCAGCTAGGCAATTTTGAGTTGAAACTTATGTCATATTTTTAGGCTATTTTAAAGCTATTTTTATGCTACTGTTTTTTTACAAAAATCAAGGTGCTCTGCTAGCTTCGAATGAAGTCAGCACTCAATTTTTTAAGTTATTTTTTCCAAAAACAACGATACAATATTTTTAAGCTATTTTTAGGCTCTTAAAATATTATTTTTAAAAAATACAGGGTATTTTGCTAGCTTCGGACAAAGCCAGCAAAGCACCCTGTATTTTTTAAAAAACACTATTTTTTTTTCGAAAAGTTTTATAATATTTTAAGTGCATCAAAATAGCTCAAACATGTGACATAAGTAGATGTTTCTAGAAAAAATAAATAAACCCAGGTTCTCTGCTAATTTTCTTTCCAACAAAGCACCCTGTATTATTAATAAATAGCAATTTTTTAGTAAAGTTTTATAATATTTCAGGAGCCTAAAAATAGCCTTAAAATGCAGTGTGGTTGTTTTTAGACAAAATCATTAAAAAACCGAGGTGCTCTGTTGGATTCGTTCGAAGCTAGCAGAGAACCTTGATTTTTGTAAAAAAACGATGAGCATAAAATTTTTGAATAGGGTATAAAAATATCCTTAAAATAGCCTAAAAAATATATGGCATAGGTTTCAACTCAAAATTGTTTAGGTACCTGCCTTCTTTGAATTAATTTGTAGATTCTTACGTTTATCTTCTAAATATTAACGATCGGTCTTCAGTCTCAGTTTGTTTCATTTACACTTCGCGACAAGTCAAAGCGTGAGTCGACCATTCGCGCCGGCGTAGTTATGTCTCTAAAAGGATCCGAGACTAATATTGGTGATTCGAATACGAATCCTTAAGAATTTCTTTGGCGAATCCGGATCACAGATCCTTTTTTTCTTAAGTATTCGAATACCGCTCGCGGATCCTCAAAAAGGATTTGAATCCCAGGATTCGAATCCTATGTGATTCGAATCCTCCCCAGCTCTGTTGTACTGTTAGACTTAGGGCCAGTCTTTTCACTTAAGAGTAAAGTTGGCTATTGTTTGTTAATCTGTTAAGTAAATCTACATGTAATATTACTCAGAGGTGAGAAGATCCACCCATAATGTACTAATATACTTATTGTATTATTGGACTTATTGTACTATTATGCTCATTGTACTATTAATTAGATAAAAATAAGTACTGTTTCTTTTAGTGTCCTTCAGAGTGGTTCCATTATCCGTGTGTTGGTATAACTGCCCCGCCAAAAGGAAAGTGGTATTGCCCCCAGTGTACGGCTTCGATGAAACGCAGAGGGGGTAGAAAAAATTAGTTCCTAAATTGCAAAATACATTTTGTGTAAATATTTTAATTAAGTGTAGTTTTTAGTAATCTTATATAATGATAATTATTAAATTGTAGATAGCTAGACTTTTATTAGTATTGACGGATATTAAACTGGCTGGTTTTTAGCAGTTAAAAAAAAAAAACATTTAAAATTGTTTTTATGTGTATGTATGTGTGAAAAAAGTGTTGAAAATGATTAAATTGTAGTAAATTGTGAATTTCTTTTTTTTTAAGACTGTGGTGCCATTTAAACTGCCTGTGCTAATTACGCCATTGTTGATTGATTCCAAATATAACATCGTTAAATTCGATCTATTTGGTCAAATTCTAAGTGGACTGTATATAAATGGTGCTAGCTGTGCTTTCTTGTATGTGTTTGGATTCAAATTCCCATACAACTGAACACATGTTTATTATCACAAATCTTATATTTTTAACATAACAGGTCACAAATAACGTTAACTAATAACTACATTTTAATTAGTTGACTTGCTCAGAAACTTTTCACATTATCTCTTGTGCAATTTACATTTTTGTGAATAAAGAACGCCTGGTATAGATACTAATTAAACGATACAGAAGGCGATAAGTGAACACGGCCAGCTTTGTGATATATATAGTGATTTATAGTTTTCGCTTTTCCTTGCGATTTTCTTGCCTTCCTCGAAAGTTCCGCTTTTCCACGAGATCCAGGTACCTGGTGGATACGACCGACAGGGAGAACTGGAGGTAAGAGGTGTAATACTCTTTCTTTTTAACACCCGCTTTAGAGGAAGCAACTATTATATCTTTTCCAAATAACTACCTTCTTTAATTGCTTTTATGAGCCGTCGATTCGTAACATTGGCTTGTTTGTTATATTGAAAGGCCCGAGTTGTTTCGAATCAAGGTAATGCTTTGATTCAGGAATAAGAAAAATGCATTTGCTTTTTTCGTGACGTCGTCTGACCAAATACCTTTTGCGTGATTTCTTTGTGTGGCATTTTAATTACCTAAAGAGTATAACGGTCGTGTCGCGTCGAGAGTGATGTTTATGTTGAATGTATTTTCAACACTGGCTATAGACAATTTTCGATGTTCCTAAACATATCGCTGTAATGTATTTTTTAAAATGAAGCATTAGTAAAATCTCCGGTTTCCCATTACAACATAAATAACTCTAACAGTGTCAATATTAGGCTGTCAAATGCTCTACCACATTACAAATATATATATTTAGGAAGTACATATAATATAGCAAAAAATTAATTTTATTTTACAGTATTAAGATGAGACGTCTTGACAATTCTAATCACTTAAGAGGAGTATTTACTTGGCTGTAAAGCGGAGCATGCAAGGGTTTCGTAGTACCCCACTTTTAAAGTTTATTTTTGACTTATTCTGAAAGAAAAAAATATGTACGTGTAGGTAAAGGATAAATCTATGCTCCTCTGGAGACACTTTTTTTAAAATTTGAAACAATTTTTTCTAAAAAAAAAAAATACAAATCTCAACTATTTTTACCCATTTTCTCAATTTTTTTTAGAAAAAACTAAATTGAATTTTGAAAAAGTGGTTCCAGAGGAGCATAGATTTAACCTTTACCTACACGTACATACTTTTTTCTTTTAAAAATAGTCAAAAATAAACTTTAAAAGTGGGGTACTACGAAACCCTTACATTGCAAGTTTTTTCGTCTGGAAAGTGGCGCCTCTGTTAGATTTTCAAGAAATTAATTTTTGTGAATGAAAACAATTTATAATATATTTTACTAATATTTTACGAGGGATGAATAAATTTTACATATTTTACACCTTATTTTTTACGTAATTTATTTCTGTAATACTAAGATTGGTATATATATTATATGCAAGGGTTTCATAGTAGACCAATTTTACGGATTATTTTTTTAATTTTACTAAAATAAATTTTATGTAAGTACAGGTAAAGGCTTAACCCATACCTCTCTGGAGTCACTTTAAAAATATGAATCAGTCTCTTTTGAAAAAATCTAAGAAAAGAAACGAAAAGAAATAGAAATGTTAAAAAATGCTAGAAGAGAACCATATATTTAATTTTTGCCTACAGGGGCATTTATTTTTATAACAATAAAAATAGAAATACGTTAAAAGCTTTTTCGTCTAGAGGGTTTATTTTTGACTATTTTTAAAAGAAAAAAGTATGTACGTGTAGGTAAAGGTTAAATCTATGCTCCTCTGGAACCACTTTTTCAAAATTCAATTTAGTTTTTTCTAAAAAAAATTGAGAAAATGGGTAAAAATAGTTGAGATTTGTATTTTTTTTTTTTTAGAAAAAACCGTTTCAAATTTTAAAAAAGTGTCTCCAGAGGAGCATAGATTTATCCTTTACCTACACGCACATATTTTTTTCTTTCAGAATAAGTCAAAAATAAACTTTAAAAGTTGGGTACTACGAAACCCTTGCATGCTCCGCTTTACAGCCAAGTAAATACTCCTCTTAAGAAACAAAAATTTTATTTATTTTTCTAAAATAATATGGATTTTCCTCTAAAATATATATAGTGGCTCACAAAAAGTCTGCTTTTTATATGTTACTTTTTTCAGAAAATGTTATTCCTGATAAAACTTGGTGTTTAATTAAACCTAAAACTTTATTTATTCAAAAAATTCTGTATCATAAATATAAATTTGGCTGCACAGTGAACTAGGTAGGTACTTTTCTAGGAACCGAACCCACATTTTTACATATAAGATTAAAGATATATATCACTGCACATAGTAGTTTTTTAGTTAATATAATTAATATAGATTATTATATCCTTTTTAACCTACTTCAAAAAGGAGGAGGTTCTCAATTCGTCTGTATATATTTTTTTATGTATGTTCAGCGATAATTCATTAACACAATGTCCGATTTAAATGATTCTTTTTTGCTGGAAAGGGGGTACTTCCGGGATGGTCCCATATAAATTTGGTTAAAATCTAATAATTGGGTCCATGAGAAAATCCTCAAACTTTTCATTTTTTATGTATGTTTAGCGATAATTCTTTACCACCTTGTCCGATTTCTATAATTCTTTTCGTTAGTAAGGGGGTACCTCAGGGGTGATCCCATATAAATTTGGTTAAGATGTGGTGATGGCATCTGCGTGATTTTAAAGTCGGTTTTTTAAAATTACTTTTAATACATGTTACGTAAATTAAAAGTGTAATAATTTGGTGCTTTCTTGATGCGTCGTTTTATGATTTTACTTTGTATATATGTTTAAGTACAGATAATTATTATTACTGACAATTTATTTTAAATCATTAAAATAATATTTTGTTGATCCAAAAAAGGCAAACAAAAAAGCCATGTCACATTCAGTGTAATAATAAAAATTAGATATATAAATATAGTATATTATGTACCAACAGACTAAACTATCACTTTCAATCCCGCCTTTTTGTCGTAAAAGACTTTTACTAGTGACGTCCGTACAGGGTTTGAACTGAATATTTTTGAACAAAAATGTGGTACGCCACTGCTTTTTCTAAAAACCAAAATTATCTTTAAAATTCTTATTTATTTTGGAGCAAATTTGGTTTATAGACGTACTTTCGTACGACGCACCCTTTTCGCGTAAGAAAATAAAAACCAGTTTATTGAAACTGCTTTTGATATTTTGTTGAAATTTGGTAGAAACCCACCATGAGTGAAAACACTTTTTTTTGGGCAAAATTTTATAAAAAAATCTAGAGTGATAAGAAACTTATAATAAAAGTTATTTTTTTCTTAAAACTTTAACACCCAAGGATTCACACCCTTAAGTATCGGTACTCAATTAATAAATACCCTGTATTAATTGATATTACCTTATTCGAACCAATCGTCTATTTTTTCGTTATTTGTATTTATATTTCACAATTCTTTACTCCTAAATGTAATTTAATCTAACTAAACCTATTCACTAAATTAAAATATAAAAATAATGTAAAACCCTCTAAAAAATCGAACTGCGTTATAACAATATCTCGCAATACACCAAGAAAAACAAATACGATTTTGGTTCCCCTAATTTAGGTAACTCTGACTCACTTAAGAACGTCGGCAGCCGAGGTAGGATTTTTCGGTTCTTTTGTCTTAACTACACGCGTTAGAGTTTGGAATGCGTATCCCTCGTATCTACATGCAATTGTTAAAATTATGAATGAATGCGGATTTTGTTTAGTCTCTGAAGTAATTTTGTAGTATTTAGGCTCCACCCTTAAGTTGTAATTTTTATACCTACTAAACTACCGTTGCCCCGCAGGTCTTTCAGTTTGTAATGTAAATTTTCCTCTTAACCAAAACCAACTACTCTGGAAAAATATTTCATGCAGATTTGAGCAAAATCGCATACGAAAATGATACCTAAGGAAGGTCTAGTTTTTTAACTTTGTTATAATCGATGTTGACGAATAAACATACCTACCTAAATCTGGACAAGAGAGTCCAAGTAGCGGCAGCTTGGATCGGCTCCGTTGATGCCGTAGTAGGCAAATGTTTATTGACAGTCGACATTTTTGTCGCTTGTTTATAAGGCTTTATTAAGTCAACGGTCAATTTAACTGGTATGATCAGACCAGAGATAACAGAGATATAAGCAGTAATTCATAAAATATAATATTCATGGTGCCAACAATAGTTCGTACTGTATACATTCTATTTCTAGACGCGGGACGAGGCGACGAAAGGTGAGAAGTAAGAGAAGGGATAGAGTGAAGAATTTTACGTAGTTTTATCAATGAATATAACTGCGCGAGCTTATACTACATAACGTAAATTTCCATGCCGGTGTAAGCCCTGTTGCCACTTCCAATCTAACATCACTAGGTTTTGGAATTTGTTGAAAATTATTACATCTAATTTAATGAAATTACATCTAATTTGTTTAAAAATGGCTATTTTTTGTTCTAATGCTCAATTAGGTCTTTGTAGGAAGTATTTTTTTTATAATTATTAAAAAAAAATCATTTACATTAGCCCTTATGATCGAAAAAAAAAATTTAAACGTCAATAGGTATCTCGGTTTCAACCGTCTACAAATTTGTATAAAAAATGTTCTTTTAGAAATATACCTCTCATTTGACGAAAAACGAAGGCATAAATGAAAAAAAAACTATTCTTTATAAAAGTTTCGCCTATGTATTGACAAGGTAAAAGTACTTTCGTCATATTTTTTGCTTTTAAATTAACAAAAATATAGCAATAAACAATTAGTGATGTCA